ATCTGTCACTACGGCATTCTTTCCCATTGTTGGGGGCGTTCGATAAAGTATCGGGTTACAAGACGCAATTTTGGGCTAACCGTAAAACATGTCAAAATAAACATACTAGTATCCAAAGGAAAATTTCGTTCAAATAAAATAAAATTATCGTCCTTACATATATTCAATGGTGATTTTTTTGCGCTAAATGGATGATTTTTCGGATTTCGTTAAAAAAAGTCGATAATTTACGGAATTTCCGTGCGCCATATTTTAGCCAATCACCGAGCAAACCTGGTTACACATATTACGCAAGATCACTTATTTATATTTTTCGACGACTAGGAATAAGACAAAAAATCGTGCTTTTGGGATTTTTTAATTTCTGACTTTAAGTATAGTTTTTGTCGACAAATAGGTGAAAAAATCGATTTTTGTTGCTTTTTTCGCACTCAATTACCCATAATTCAAAATCAAGAGCATTTTTCAAAAATCCCTAAACCACGATTTTTGGGACAACCGTGACAGTCATTTTAAGCCGTAAATGGGGTATGTTTGACTCTCCATGCTTTCAGGTTGAAACGAGTTTTGCAGACATGTCATATCTCCCAAAAGTGTGCATCGTGTTATTCATAAAGGCGTAAAGAATCATTACAGTATTCAAGGTCACCCAAGGATACGACAGTAGCTTCGCTACATGTTACATGTCCACAAAAAAATGATAGTGGACATGTAATGTCCTGGAAACTGTTTGTATCTATTGAAAAGTGTTGTTTTTTATCTGTTGCGAGTCACTCAGGCAGAAGGGCTTGTTTTGCCGCATTATTGCAAATGACCGCAGGTGACCCCGAAATGGAACGCGGGTTCGATTCGAATTGCCTAGATCGAACACGATCGAACACAGTTCGGATTCTATGAAATGTGGGAACTTTGCAGCCCAGATTTTACCACCGTGACACGTTAAATATGATAAATAAATAAAAAATGAAAAGAAATTGTTGTCTCCAAAATATTAGTCTCCTTTATCTTTGAATAGTAAAAAGTCTGCTGGTGATTTGAATGTTGACTGGAATTTTAACGTACAAGAAAACGTACCGTTTGCATATCACTGTCTTGCTTCGCTGGGACGTAGATTGAGATGATAAGCGCTGTTATAACCGCCAGCGTCGCCACGATCAAGCATTTAATAATGACACCCACCAGGCAAGATTGAGACACCACACAACTCTGACCTGGAAAGCAGCAATAAAGAGAAAAAATGAATTCAAACGTTACCATAAGGGCAACTGCATACCATTTGTCTCTACGGACATTTTTATGCTGGTAATTTTCAATAGAAATGACCAAAAATGGACGGTAGGAGGAATAAATCCTAGAAGATTCCTCAGGGAAAGTGAACGGCCTAAGACTAGTGGTTCCAAACTTCTATTATGGTTATCTGCATTATATATAATTATATATATGCTTCTTCCGATCCCCTTCCAATAAGCACCATGTTGCCGGAGATAACAAAGGTAGTCATGTAGCTGTGTTAAATATTAGTTCGGACTAGAAGCTTGTATTTGTGTTAAAGCAAGTGAAATATACTGATGAGATAAATTTTCTTAACGCAACATAGGGTAACAATGTGGTAACTTTGGTAAATTTGTGGCATCTTACCTCCATCTGCCCTTGGCTGTGCAGCATTTGGAGCGTACATGGGGTTTTGGTGTAACACGTTCCCGATGTACATAGGGTTCCGAAGTAGACCGTCCGTCTTACCGGCAACAGACTCTGCAGTCAACATTATAAGGACAGAAGTTACCCAATATTCAGCAGTGCTACTTTTGACTCGAAGTACCTTTTAACTTAAGCTATTAAACACTAGGAATACCCATCTGGGCAAAAACATGAAATAAAGATTCATATCATTAATAAATAATATGCTAACTATATTATCTAATCGCCCTCTGTAGCTAAACAGGCTAATGCCTTTCATAGAGAATGAACGATGAAACTACGAATAAAACATAAACTCAATAAAAAAAATCGATGTCCTCAACAAGAAATTGTAGTGTTAAACGATACGTATTAACTATGTCTCAGCCATACGTAAATAATCTTTTTATAATTGAAATTTTGGATAATGGATTTATTGTTTACATATCATGGGTTGACAAGTCTATTAATAATAATATGTTGTAACTGTCACGATCATACCGGCTAAACTAGTGTTGGGTCCCCTCCATTCGCCATGAGAACAATCAGCAGACTGGCCAGTCGGTTGTTGATCGTCATAATTTATATCCTGTTCATCGTAAGCAACGGCGTAGGGTTGGACGTCAAACATATCGTCTTCTTCACCGTTTGTTTTGCTGTCCGGTTGATGCGCGACTGCATACGGACGGATACAACTATCGTCTGCAGTGACTTCCTCCTCTAATTCAAATTCATTCTGATAAGAGTTTTCGGCATCCTCTAATTGCTTGGCGACAGGCTGGTCCAAGCCTTCCGCTCCTCTTTTTGAGCAATCAATGCCTATGCTTGCCTCGTCTACATCTTCACTGCATTGGTAGGCAGTAGATGATACTTCTTTAACACAGGTATCCCTTACCTGGTATTGTCCTACGTTATTTTCGTTATAACCTTCGGCATCGTAGATTTCAGTTGACGACTGTTGTTCTGCCTTTTCCTGTGAATTATCAGCACAGAGTGCTTGATTTTCTTTAACAGGATCAACGTGTGTATCCGTTGTACACGTTTCCGGTAACGAAGGCTTTTCAGAGTGAAAAGCTTGATTCTGGTCAGTTTTCCCGATGTTTGTATGAGACGGGCAGACAGTCGGTAGCGATGGACGCTCTGCCCCGTCGTCAGTGCTGTGACCAGGTACATGGTACTGGGCAGAGTGTTCAGCCGAAGCGCCGCTAAGAGCATCCTGTAGCGACTCTTTCACATCCCCGGGCGACGTGTCTTTCCGCTCTTCTGGGGTGGCTGAGTCCCAGTGTTGCTGTATGTCCTGTTGGTTCACAGGGCTTGATGTAGACATAGAAGAATCGCAGATTTGAGTTGGATTTGCAACTGTATCGTCCATATCATCCATCGTATGACGGAGTCAAAGCAGTGATGTTCATGCGCACTGACAATATCACCAGTAACGTTGGAGTTCCTAAAACCGTACGGACCGAATAAAAATCTGTTTGATTTTTTGTGATTTGTTACAGGCTGCTATGGTTTTATTGTACCCGTTTGTACATAAATATGAATGGAAACTAATTATATCCCATGGGGTCAGTAGACAATCATCACAATAATTTGTCGTGCCGATTAAATGCTGATTAGTCTAGTCTATAGCTGAAACTGATGAATACGCAACAGAAGATTCTGTAATTAATTGCTATGTGCGGGGCAATCGATTGGAACTGTAATGTTTAAATTAATGGATATATTGTGTACACGTCTGTAAATATTTTAGCTGGCGAATAGCACGATTGCTACTATTTGTATGCCATATGTAGATTTTGAAAAAAAAAACTATGCCCAATGCCCGTTTAATTTTAATTACGTATTTTTTTTTACTCTACCACTTTTTATCTGTATTTCTATATAGGGGCCTCAAATCGGCCTACAACACTCTTTATTGAGGTCATCAAGGAAGATAACGTTCTCTTCTTCGCAAGCTCCGAAGAAAACTATGTTTCCCATCACAGACAAACACACACATTTAGGGTAGTGAGCTCACCGTCACCAAAAAAACCTGGAGACCGCAGTTTTATCAAGAGATGGTAGGTGTCTCTCTTAACAGTTGGTAATGTGATGTATGGGAACCAATAGAAGGACTTTTTTTCTGCAGTCTTTCAAGACATGAAAGCTTTCCGCCGTTAAGGAAGTTCGCTAGAATTCCTTCGAAGTGAATTTAGGAGTGTAGGCTTCAAGAAGCGAGAAAATGATCATGGAGAAAGCCACTGTTTGTGATGTTGTCTGACTTTGGGTTACACTTGCGTTGAAATTCTTGAATCTCCACAGAATGTCTGCATTACGGGGTTTGCCTTGATGAACTATATTAATGGCGAACCCGAAATTAGTCTGAAGTATTTTAGCCATCAGAAAAGTAATCCTGGTCAATATATCCTTCTGTACACCTTGTTTTTGATTTTGCATATGATTTCTTGTCAGAAGTTGCAACAGTCTACATAAACATGTACTGAAAGTGCACTTCGTCACCACTTAGTTTTTTTTTTACTTAAATGAATAGAAGATGAAAACTTCTGTTTCGGACTTTTGTTATTTTTTTTAGTAAATATAACAGTTACAATCCGGGATTGTTGATGACCAACACCATGATTAATGATGATATTCTACATGTAAGTACTATTGCCATTATACGTTGATAAAATGAATTATGAAAAGTATATTTATTGATACCACTTGATTAAAAAAATCCAATAAGCTTTGAAAAGAGCTATATTTATTGTTATTTATGTACTGTGTCCTCTTTGCCATCATTTATCATTGGGTGGGGAACCGGACCTGCGCTCTTGAATTTCTTGTAATTACTGTTTTTTGCCTGTCTTAAAGTTGCGATTGTTTCTTTTCTTTATTATATGTATTTATTTAGTGGTGCCGTCAACATAAGTGCTTTCCACTTGAGTGAGGCATCACCATGTCCTGTATCCTTTTTTCATGTGAATGAAAAAAAAGAGCTATATACATAGCAGTATACTAACATATACAATGTGTATTGTCTTTTATTGATTTTCTGTACACATTTGTCATGTTCACGAGAGCCCCGGGCCCATCCTTCCAGCCCTGGCTTAACCATCAGACTTAAGAGCTTTTTTTCCGCCCTGTCGCTTAATATTTTTCAAGAAAAACTCCGAGAACCAACAAATTAGATTGGTGTGGCCTAATGTAGATAATGATACAGGTCTACATGGTGCCGAGACCAGCACGAGTAAAAACGTGCCAATAAACTACTCAAGGTAGACTAGGTGTCACAACAGTACTATGTGTATATTAATTAATATATCCAAATGTATCAGCACTCAGTACTGATAGAATATTGTGATATTACTGGTGTCAAAATCAGTCACTACCAGCTGTCCACCGGGGGCTACTGCCACGCCGCCAGCTCTACTGGGAACAACGCGGCGCACGTACCGCCCGTCTTCTGTAAACATGTCTACCGCCCCGCCTATCCGGACCAGCAGAACGTTTCCTGAACCGTCTGTACAGATTCCCGTGACTTCGTCTGCCTCATTGTCGTCGGTTTCTGTTATACCTTCTCCGATTTCTGTCTTACCCATGACGATTACTGTCTGACCCTCTCCCATTTCTGCCTGACCCATGCCGATTTCTGTTGAACCCAGGCCGATTTCTGCCTGACCCTCATCGATGTCGTCACACCCAAAGCTGTAAAGGTACTGACTCCTGTTGTTATAGACATGGACACGTGCATCTCCCATACTGTCGGACACAAACATGTTCCCCTCCCGTCCCAGAGCGACCAACCCGGGGTACCCCGAACCTTGCTGCACCCGAAACTTGTGCTCAACAGTACCATTGAAATGCAGAAGCTTGACTTCCCCATAACCCCACCAGTACTCTGTCGCTACGACAAGATTACGAGGTGTGTCCACAGTCATGCCGGAGAAAGAATTATTGCTGAACGTTGCGCGGAGTGTTGTAAGGTGACTTCCAAGTTTAGTGTATCGAACAATAAACCCTGACATTCTGTCCGCATTCCCAACTACCCACACATGGCCCTCCCCGTCGATGGAGATGTCATGGGGTTTCAACGTCTCGGAGTTTTCCCCTGACGTGACGGTGGGGAAACGGCGGAGGTAGACGCCCGTCATGCTGAAGACTTGAACCTGCCTGTTGTAGGTGTCAGCTAGGAATATTTCGTTGCAGGGCGACACGGCGACAGAGCTTACCTCGGAACAATCGGAAGATTCTTCACATTTCAGTCGAAAGACGATCGTCTTTTGTTGAAGGTCTTTGTTTTCGTTCTCTGAATTGAAAAGAACGTATTTATTTATAATTGTAACTAGAAAATACAAAGTGTGCACTAGGCAGCAAGTATGCTGATAACGTGCACACGGTAACACACACCTGGACATATGACAATAAATAGTTAGAACAAGATATATACACAGATAACATTATCTAATAAATCACACCTGCAATTTTGATAATCAATTTTATAACTGTACAGCAATCAAATGTTTGTTGTGGCTCCACTGGAAGAAGTCTTTTTGATTGGGCAATGAACATCTGTGAGTTTTGTATTTATGTCGAAGTTATGAGCTGGAGACCCCTGGAGCAGGAGAGATGTATTGAAAGAACATTTATACTACACCATACAAATTCAAAACATTTAAATTTGAAAAATATATTTCTTGCCATATTACATCTCGTCTTAGCAGTAAAATGTGTAATAAAATATGTAACATAATGATTGTTGTGATTTGTAATAACCTCCAAGCAGATCTTTCAGTGGCAAGACAGTATCCATTGGCCAGAGGATTGTCCATTAGCCACCGAAGATCTGCCAGTACTCGAACAGGCAGGAGCTCTTCTTTTCAAAAATGGTGTTGCCCCTATTAACAGCTATCAAAAATTTGTCGTGCTGAGATTTTTACAAGTGGTTTATAGCTTGAATTTGGGACAAATGCAGTCACCCGCGCACATCTCAGTGGGAGTTCTCGCCTAACCCTGTCCAGATAATACTGTATGCTGGTACTAAAATATGCTGGCTGAAACATAGAATTGTCAATAACTGGGGTTCTTGTGGTTCAAAACCGCTTATATCACAAAACATATGTTGAACCTTCTTTTCCTTAAGTTAAACTGTACAAAATAACAGTTGGCGAGGGGACCCATAGAGAGACTTCCTGTAATGCTCAACCAGCTGGCCCACTAGGAGGGCAAGAGCCTTGCCTGGTGGTCAGGGCAATAAATTCCTTGGCAAGAATATTTTGATCAGGCAACAACTAGGTGTTAATAGCCTTTCACGTTTAATGGACACTCCTCTGGCCAATGGATACTGTCTTGCCACCGAAAGATCTGCTTGGAGATTAATTTGTATGTCATGTATATGACTGGGAAAGTTATGGTTTTAAATTCACGATGTATTCATTCATGGTTATTTATATACTCAGTGAGAGACCTTGATAAAGGCAATGCCTAGATATTATGCCTGAATCTATCTGGTAGTTTCACTGTTAACAAAGATGTTATACTGAAGCTAATGTGACCAACTCGCCAAGTGAGGTTAACCTAACGAAG